GAGGAGAGAGAGAGAGAGAGAGAGAGAGAGAGAGAGAGAGAGAGAGAGAGAGAGAGAGAGAGCTCTTGTGGCTAACATAAGGATCCCAAATCAAAAGACTTTATTTACCCCGAATTATGGATAAACAGAATTCTGATCCAGAACAAAGGCTCTAAAAAGCTCCAGTACGATCCACAGCATTGGCACCAGCACAGACAACCTTACTGATTTGGCTGCTCAAGTCACACAGCAGCAGCTGCAACCTTGCTGCTGCTTCTTGCCGCAGGTTGACAATGACATGCCTTCATCCATGCCTGCCCCAGAACTACACTGTTTTCAAGGGCTTACACACACACACACACACACACACACACACACACACAGAGACAGAGAGACAGAGAGAGAGAGAGAGACGGAGGAGGGATGAGGCAGCTCATGGTGTCCTGAGTGCTTGCCGGTGGAATATTAAGGTCCGTTTGGAGGTCGCTGAGGGTAATATGATCCTCGACCTCTTGGACAGTGCAGACCAGGCTCAGCCTGCTGCCCCCTGTGCTTGTCTGTGTTCAGTGCTCACTGCTCCAGCCTCCGGAAGTTCGTATATATATATTTTTTTCATGATATGAATAGTCCGAAAAGCACTCAATGTTGCCACTTCTTGTTTAAAGGTTTGTAGAAGGCACTGGGAAACATGTAGAAAGCAATCACATAAACATTATTAATATTTACCTAGCTCTCCCTTCCCTTCCATCCTCCCTCCCTTTCTGCCCAAGGACAGTGTTTTGCTCCTGGGTCAGGCATGCTGCAAACCCCAGGAGTTGCCTGGAGCAGAATGGAGGAGGAAAGGAAACCTCGCGTGCTGCTTAAACCGGCACAGAGGTCACACTCGGAGACAAACAGCCATACATGGTAGGGAAGGAGGCTGTAGAGAAAGCAGGGAAGCTCCAGGTATCAGAAAAAAAGTGCACTTAGGATCTGGCCTAAAGAAAGAGACAGATGAAGGGAAAAGCTGAAGCTTTCTGACTGAGGCCTCCTCGGAAGGGCAGGCTGACCCGGCTGCACCTCGTGGCTGGCTCTTTTTAAATGGGCGTGGTGTGTGGGAGGAAGGCTTTAGAATCAGATTGTCTTGCATTTGAACCCTACCTCTTCTACTATTGCAGTTTTGGGAAAGTTACTTTTCCTCATCTCTCTCCAGAGTTGGGCTGGTTGTGACCCTTGTAACGAGGCCTCATTTAACTTGGGCTTGCTCCCCAGGTCCCAAGAGTGTTTGTCAACGGCACGTTCATCGGAGGGGCCACTGACACTCACAGGCTTCACAGAGAAGGGAAATTGCTGCCGCTGGTTCTTCAGTGTAACCTACAGAAGAGCAAGAGGAAAGCCGTGGAGTGACGTGGCCGTTCCCCGGGGCCAGTGAAATGTTAGTTAACGCAATCCCGCTCTCTAATTGTTCGAGGATGTTTTAAGTGTGTGTACTTCCTTCCTAAAGACACCTTCAAATAATGGACAATAAATTGCCAATAAATAAATCCTCCTCCTGGCCAGTGTTTTGAGCATGGGATGGTCTGTAAAACTGAAGGGGTGGGGTTACATCCAGAGTCCAGAATGGTTATTAGGGATTTATTCATGAATTTTACAATGAAGAGGAAGGAAGCCCTTGAAATTCTTACTCCCTTTAGTGTGCGGGCATTAACTGACATTCACTGGCTGTCAGGACTGAGGACTGATGTGTGATTTCTCTAACATTTAAAGTGGTGTAGATGTGCCGTAGGCTGGGATACCATAGCAGGACAGCCTTCCTTGTTATATTGTAGATCATCAGAGACATATTAAATACGTAGGATGGAATGAAGTTTATAGTTGGGAAACCAAACTGCTAATGACTTCATGGTTACAGGGATAAAGAAAAAAAAAAAAATATATATATATATATATATATATATATACACATATATTGACAGAAGGCAAAGAGTGAGGATGAACTTTTCGAACAGTTCAGAAATGTATTTGGTCATGCTGTCAGTTGGAATGTTCTACCTTTCAGAATGGGTAACAGCTATTGGGAATTGTTTTTTGGTGGGGGGGCAGAGGTGGGAGATGAGACAACAGGGTCAGTCTGTAGCCCAGGCTGGCCTCAAACTCCCATCATTCCTCCTGCCTGTTTCCCAAGCTTGGATTAAATGCTGAGCCACCATGCCCAGCCTGGAAATGTTTAAGGGAACCCAGGGTATTAGAATTTAGACAAAAGGTCCTTGCTGTGGTTCGAATGCTCCTCATCACAGACTTCATGTGTTGGACATGCATGATTACATCATGATATGGTAAGAGGTGAAGCCTTTAAAAAGTGGTTGATCATGAGGGCAGATTGGTTAGAGCTGTATTAAAGATTTAGTTATCACAGAAGGTGGTTCTTAATAAAAGTTTGTCCCCCTTACCTCTCACACCCATGCTCTTAGCCTTCCTCTCCCTGCAGTGTCCTGCTGTAGCAAGAAATCGTCACTAGATGTCGCTGCCGGAATCTCATCTCAAGCTTCCCAGCCTATGAACTCTAACAAGTAAATCTCTTCTTCACTAATTAGTCTCTGGTATTGTTTCAGCCGTACAGATGGAGGAGAGTGCCCCTAAAGTCACCTGAATGTTATCTTACTATTTTCTAACCTGGCAGAAGTGGACTTCCAGAGTGAGGGCTTCAGCTTTCTGGTCAAGATGGCTCAGGAATCAAGGGGAGTTTTGAGGAAGACAGTGGCCTGCTGTCAGTGATCTTTCCTACATGGATTTCAAACATTTGGATACCTTGACACAGCGAGAAGTTAAGACTGTTCTTTCCTGATAGTTCACTTAAGTTGTAATGTTGGTAGGAAAAGAATGGCATATTTTTATTCCTTCATTTTGCATTATATCCTGAGAAATTTTTTATTTTTGCTGTTGTAAAACTCATGTTAGAGAGTAGAGAAAGTTTGTTATGCATGAGGAAGGTAAAAACTGTCACTGTCGCTTTTATTAATTATATTTAGGTATAAGGTCAGAGGCAGGTTACTTAGGTGCATAGCTATACTGACCAGGTGATTATCTGGTACTTGACTTTGAAGAACTTTCTTGTGGTAACCTGACTCCGACCTAGGGCCTGAATGCTAGGCCGGTACCTTACCACTGAACTATACAACTAATCCTTATGAAGAATGTTTCATTAGTTCTTCTTAGACTTGTGGAAAACAGAGCATGAGTGGTACTTGTTTTAAGATAAGCCATATCAGCAGAAGGATCAAAAACATCGACGGTAACAGGCTGTCTTATCATTTATAATTTTATTTTAAAAAGAAATAAACTCTTCCAGTGCTTACCTAGAAAGTGTTCTGAATTTTATTCTCAATGACTTAAAAACAAAACAAACAACAACAACAAAAAAGAACAAGGTTACTTCTTGGGGTCTAGCATTGCATCCAAAGGAATTAATTTGCAAACCAGGACTCTACTCATTGACAGATGCTCAGAGGTGACAGGCTCTCGCCTCACCTCACAGCAGATGAAAAGAGTCTGTAACAAGAAAGTCTTTGCTTCGGAGTCTGAGTGTAAGGTGGCTCAGTGGGCCAAAGTACTCACCAAGCAAGGCTGATGATCTGAGTTCAGCCTCTGGGACCCACAGTGGGAAGAGAAAGGGCTCCTGAAAGTTGCTCCTGACTTGCACATATGTGGGCTTGCTCTCCCATGGACAATGTGCAGTCTTATGCACGACTGCACCAAGAATAAGGAAATGCTGGATACAGCTTAGAAACACACACACACACACACACACACACACACACACACACACACACACACACTCCTAGACGGCTGTTCCTGGAGGCCTGGGCGGTGGTGGAGCACACCTTTAATTCCAGTACTCGGGAGGCAGAGCCAGGTGGATCTCTGTGAGTTCGAGGCCAGCCTGGGCTACAGAGCGAGATGAGATCCAGGAAAGGCATCAAAGCTACACAGAGAAACCCTGTCTCAAAAAACCAAAAATAACACACACACACACACACGACACAGCTTGTGTGTGTTGGGGGGAGGGCTGCATGTGTGTGGAGGTCAGAACAACTCTGGAGTCAGTTCTCTCCTTCCACCGTAACAGGGTCCAGGGCTAGAAGTCCAGTTATTAGGCTTGTGCAACAAGGGCCCTTTACCTACGGAGCTATTGCTCAGCCTAAAGGATACAATATTTAACTTTTTTCTTTGGGAGTTATGGTGCTTAGTGGAAAATGGCACCCAGCATGTGCAAGGTCCCTGGTTCGATCTCCAATACTAACACATGTACACATTCTTTTTGATGCGTGGCTAAGCTGGTTTTTAAAGTCGTGGCAGCTGAAGGGGAATCTATAAAAATCCTGGAGCAGGGTACATTTCCAGAGATGTAAGCAAGCACCGAAGTCAGCGGCTGCCCTGAAGATGATTACCTAGGTCAACATAGAACTTGAATTTGAACTCTCTCTGCTGCCTGCTTGGGGAAAGGAGACCAGGACAGCACCACAAGTTTACACCGGTAAAACCTAAGTGAATTTCTTTGTTTCTTTTTTTTTTTCTCTGTGTAACATTCCTGGCTGTCTTGGAACTCACTTTGTAGACCAGGCTGGCCTTGAACTCACTAAAATCCATCTGCCTTTGCCTCTCAAGTGCTGGGATTAAAGGCATGCACCACCACCGCCCGGTTTTAAGTTAATGTCTTAACTGGTACTTTATTAGAGCAAGGGAAATGTTAAATCCCTGTGACTTAGCAGGTAGACGACAACCAGTTGGAACCTTTGGTCTTTAGAATGTACTGACAAATGGAGACTGAGTCACCTGGAATGGAGTTCAATATTGAGGAGACAATATGCAAAGGCTACTCTTTTTTTTCATATTTAAAAATACATTTTAATATATATTGATAGTAACAAATCTCTCATATAAGAGAGAGATTTATTAGAGTTGCTTACAGGCTATGATCTAGGTATTCTCCCCCAAATGATAGGTCAACAATCTGGTAGTTTTTCAGTCCAAGAGACTGGATATCTCAATAGTTTCAGTCTGCTGCTAGATGGGAGTCTCAGAGGATTCCTGTAGAGTTGATGGTTTTCAGTGTGTGTTGGAATCCCAAAGAAGTAGGTTCTACTGCCATCAAAAGAATGCTTCAGCAGCAAGACAGATGAATTTGCTAGTGAGAGTGAGCAAGCAAAACGCAAAAGCTTTCCTAGTGTATGTCCTATGTCCTTTTATGTGGACTGCTTCCAGAAGGTGTGGCCCAGATTTAGGGTGGGTCTTTCTATTTAAATGATTCAATAAGAAAATCCCCACAGACATGCCCAGCTGCTTGGGCTGTAGTTGATTTCAGTTGTAGTCGACTTGACAGGCAAAGGCTACTCTTAATTACAGTGTGTGGGGTTCTTCTGTACCTCTCAGGGTTTTCTAAGTTCCTCACCCGCCTAGCCAAGACATTAGGGGGATGGGGAAACTCCAGGCTAAAATGTTGCTTTTTATTTTGAAGGTCTTGTTCTGTTGGCCAGTCTGATCTTAGACTTGTGTGATTACAGGTGTGTACCACCATACAGGCTTTTGATGTCTATAACATTGACTTCTCCCACTCTCCTTCCCATACTATATGGCTGTAAAAAGGGTAATGTGAACTTAAAGCAAAGCCCAGTTTCAAAAGGTAAAGGTGTTTGTGCCAAGCCTAAAGACCTGAGTCCGACTGGAACCCACATAAAGGTGAAGGAAAGGACTAACGCCAACCATGTGCTGTAACGTGCACTCCCCCATCCCTCACACACACTCAGACACTAACGATTGAAAACCCTTTGTACTTTGATAAAATCCAACTTCTTGATCCTGTGATGGAACTTGGTTGGAAACGAATCTGAAACTACACATACCTTATGCACATGCAGCTAGAGACAGAAGGACAATGTTAATTACAGAAAGCTAATTTTTTTATCTTTTGAATTGTAACAGATGGCTTCAGGGTTTTACATAGAAGGCATATTATAACCTTAAAATTTATGCTTCTTAAAAGATTAAAAAGACAGTTATATGATATGCATAAAATTTATTTGGTACACCTGTCAACTTCTACAATAAACCGGCGACAAACAGTTCATGTAGTGCCCACTCACTCCACACCTGAAATGACATATTTAAGCATCCTTAATCTGAAAATCCAAAACTTTAAAAAGCTTCAGAACTGGAAACTTGAAAGTGCTGACATAATGCCACATGGAAAGTTCATTAATCAGACCAGTTGACAAGTCACAGTCAAATGCAAGTCCATTAAGATAAATTTGCTTTCCTATGATATATATGAGGTTCATACAGAATATCCCAGGGATTGCATTATACATATGCAAATAATTCTGACATTTGAAAAAAAATCTTAAAATACTTGTGGCCCCAAGCCTTTCAGGTAAGAGATAATCAACTTGTATGCCATAGGTTATTTTGCAAGGTTAGAAGGAAAGTCAAGATATCCCAGTATTGGTGAAAACTTTTGTCATGAAATAAATGTAATAAATGAAGCATTCCTCTGTTTTTCATTAGAAAATAGCAACGTTACATTGTTACACATTATTTACACTGCAAACTTGGAAGACTTGACAGCATCAGTTAACCAAAGTCCTGGAAAGGCCTGTTTGCCCTCTCCAGGCTCCGCTCCTTGGAAATACGCTAGCTGTACATCAAGCTTAATATATCTTTGAGCACCAGCATGACAATTTAAAGCACTCTTTCAGTTTCATAAGATATTCCTGTTTGAAAGGCAAAGCAAACACAAAATGTGAACTCAATGACACAAGTCACTGGCCTGTTATTTTTATTGCAAAAGTCTCAATGTTTTAATACTATATTCATTTCTCTAAATGAGTTTGCTCATAGACTTGAACCAAAATATTTGCCTTTTGCCTCAAAAAAAAATTCTCTTAAAAAGCAGTTTTCTTTGGAACTATACAACTGTACTTTTCATTCAGTGTTAAATATGCAACATGGTCCTTGGAGGTCATGTTATGGTCAGGAAATCCAGCTTCTGAATAACTGGTTATACAAAACAATAAAAAACCTTAAGTAACCATAAATATACTGATGTTGCAGTCATGTATTTATCACACATCAGCACAGCCAGATTATTCTTTTCATGTTTAAAATATTAATGTACAATCAGGTTTAATACCTAACAGTTAAATTTCAATTCATTATGTAAAATTAAAAAGCTCTAGAAGACCCTGTAAGTTCTATTCTTCAGAAACATTAGAACACTATTAAGGCATTACTTAATTAGCAGACCCTAAAGAAACTAGTATGTCTGGTAAGAAGAGCTAGTCACATATTAAGGCAGTCAAAGAGTCATTTTTTTAACCACTTTAAGGCTCTTATATAACTATAATTTATTTCATGCAGACATTATTTTGGATACCTGAAAGATCCATCAGTCGGCCAATTATGAAATGAATGTAATTATAATTAAACAAATGGATAGTTTAGAGATAGATTGTAACACTCCTGCTCTAGTTCTTTTAAATACAACTTCATACATCTCATTCCTTTGGAGAATTCTTCATTATTAAGTTTGCAATAAGAAAATTATAATTCAACTTAATTACAAAGCTATTCGGCCAACCGTACCAAATATATAGTCTATTTAGAACAGTGCAACAAGAACTGTTTTCTTCTTTAATATTCATGCACTATGTTTCAAAATCTAATTCAGTCATACTGGGGTTTGAGTTTACGTTTCAACAAAGGCAAGGCAGTCACTTAGACAAAAGTTTCAATGCAACGTTTTCATTGATATAATTTACCATTTACACAAAGTAAATAGGATGTTAACCCATTACTTTTAATAATCCAAACATAAAGTGAAACCAGCAGAAATGAAGATAATTAGTTTTTCTTTTTTCAAATCCAGATTCTGCTAACTTATGAAAGGTACAGAAGTTCAAACAGTTTAAAATTAAAATTCACTTGTGTTCACAAAGTTAAGATGATTAAAGGTTGGGATAAATAAAGTAGAAAGGCAAAAATCTCTAGGATCAGAAATAGCTTTTGTGTATCTTCATTCTATTTACAAATGCTCACTGGAGATAATCACAATTCAGAAACAGAATCCTGCAGATCTTCCTTTCAATTTTTCTAATATATCTTATTTTTAGGATGGAGGAAAAAGTGTGTCATTTGTTATTTTATTCAGGCACTACACTTGGCTACATTACTAGTTTTTTATATGAAAAATATTTTAGAATTAATGTTAAAGTTCACAGTGATTTTTTTTCAAAGATGAAGACAATTACCAATTAGAAAGATACTGAATGCCAATATAAGTAATTACAAGGCTTTTCATAGTATAAGCTCAGCGTATGTGTATGTGTGCATGGACACTCACTGGAAAGACTTTGTAAATCTGGAGTCTATAAGGATAGAACTAAGAGGATGCAGGTGTCACTTTCTGAAATTGTCAATTATTAGATTGCTTATATGGTATAACACTTCTCAACGTTTATCAATAATTACAAACAGATTTTGAACAACTGATCTTATTGAATGGCCATAAAATTTCTGGAATATCTATAAAGGTATTCTCTCCCTTGATTTGGGGAATGTATCAATCCAGGTACTACTTTAGTTATTTGGAAAGATATTTTATTATTATTTTTAATTTATTTTTATTTTTTATGTGCATTTGTGTTTTGCCTGCCTGTATGTCTGTGTGATGGGATAAGATTCCCCAAACTTGGAGTTACAAACAGTTGTGAACAGCCATGTAGATGCTGGGAATTGAACCCGGGTCCTCTAATAGAACAGCCAGTGCTCTTAACTGCTGAGCCATCTCCCCATCTCTGAAAAATATGTTCTTAAATGTATATAAAATAAAAAACAATCTGCAAGAGAGTGACCCCAAACCTCAATGTGGATGACTTTCTGGTCATGCAATTTATTACCCAATTGTATAAAACTGAAAAAAACAAAAACAAAAATGTGAGAAGACTTGCAAAGGAGAAAAATGTACATGAAATAATCTTCCATGAACTAAGAGATTAGGGAGCAAGTATCAGGAAAACAAAGTCAATTCAGAGTTAATACTGGCTCATTTCACTGCAGAAACTCTCATCTTTTCTGATCCTTCCTTATGGATGTATGACATTTCTCCAAGAGGACAATGTGTACCTTAACAAAACCAAGCGAATCCAAGACTAGTTTTCTCATTTTGAGTTACCTTTACCACAAGCATACCACACAGCCACCAAATCTGTTGCAGTATCTTTTTTTCCCCCTCTCCACTTTTACACACACATGCACATGTACAAATTCCATGGCAAAATGTGGTCAGATGACAACTTGCAGGACTTGTTTCTCTTCTCCTACCATGTGGGGTCCAGGGACTGAGCACAATTCATCAGGCTTGGTGGCAAGTGTCTTTACTCACAAAGACATCTTGCCTGCCCTGGGACAATATCTTGAGGTCACAAGAAAATAACTCCAAGGACTCACAATGAGTTAGCCTTCATTTCTTGCTTAGATGTACCTTTTCTGTGCTTCTAAAGATTGTTCTTAATTGGTATATTCTCAAATTTACACTGGTATGATTTTTTTTTTTTCAAAGTCTAGAAAAGTGAGAAACAACCTGGCAATGGTGTATTATCAATTGCAGACTTGTGATTCAAATAGGTTAATATAGCAAGTGCTTGTTAGTGATAACGTGGTGTTACTTTGATTATGAGCTTTGCTTTCATTTCTTCTTGGGGTACACTTCTTTCTCTTTATCAGGGAATAGTGACACCTTGGTGTTTATAATGAAAAATGAAGTTTGAACTTGTATTGAAAAGCTTCTTTTCTGGTTTCAATTTTAGGTAGATATTAAGCTACTGGCTCTTCTATGATCTAAGAATAAGATATGCTAATTTGTAGGAGAGTAAAATTTTACCACACTTGTTAAACAGGTTGTCTGTAATGTCACAACACATGGAAGAAAACAAGAGAGTCTCCAAAGGGTGAGGCACATTCTACTCACTAGCATATTCCTAACACTCTTAGAACAGTTACTAAGTAATAGTTTCAATAAGTGGAATTTCTACTAATAAAAAACGGTGAGATGAAAAGATTACTGCTCTGTTTTATTAATAACAACGAAGTCCTGGAAATATTTACATAGTATCTAGAAAATAAAGTTTATTTTTCTTAAGATTGTTTTTTAAAGCAGTATTTTTTCATACTATTTACTTAAGAGTAACCCTGGTGGTAATTTGGAAAATAAGACTTGTTTACCACTCGAGTATATCCTATGCTTAATGAGGTTAAAAAAAAAAAAAGCCTTTCGATGGAGCTATATTACATAGCAACATAGGCTGTTAAGACATAATTGTGTTTGAGAGTTATTCCAAATTAAAAAAAAAACATACATAGTCACAATTTCCTAAAGCAATCATGCATATTATCAATTCCTAATGTCTAAATAAGGTAAAAGTTCTGCATATTTCTCCTGTCCCTCTTGCTAAAGCAATGCACTCCCATGTATGAGAAAGGAAAAGCTAGAATGGTAAGCAGAGAGGCAAACCCTTTTAGGTCGCCCCTCTCCAAAATCATCCAGCCTAATGCTGGGCATGGTGGCGCACGCCTTTAATCCCAGCACTCGGAAGGCAGAGGCATGCGGATCTCTGTGAGTTCGAGGCCAGCCTGGGCTACAGAGTGAGCTTCAGGGCAGCCAGGACTATGCAGAGAGACCCTGTCACAAACAAACAAACAAACAAACAAACAAACAAACAAACAAACAAGCAAACCAACCAACCAACCAACCATCTAAGATTTCTTTCCACTCTGATTTGAAGATAAAATTGCTTTCAGAGAGGTCTTCCTTTGTTTTTCTTTTTTCTTTCTTAAAAAAAATTTTTTTTCTTTGAGACAGGGTCTCACTACTTAGCCCTCAGTGGCTTGGAACTTGCTATGTAGAGTAGGCTGGCCTCTAACTTACAGTTCTACCTGCCCCTGCCTCCCCAGGCCTAGGACTAAGGCTTTTGTCACCACACCTGGCTTCTGTCTTCACTCTTAACCTATTTATTAGGCCTACCTAAATGCTATTGAAGAGTCACCGCTACTCTGATTCCCTCGACGGAGTCAATATTTGCTCCTAGACATACTCTGCTTGCCTAAAAGCACTAGCTAAACAGCACAGAAGTAAAAGAAATGAGCATTTATATAATATTCCCTGTAACATTTCATAATAAGTTACATCATATTAAAACCTAGACCCTGGGTTTAAAGAAGTCAATAGCTCTCATGTAAGTAATTCTTAGGGTTTTGAACCTTAAACTCAATTTGAATACGAAACTTGAATGCATCAGGAGTAAAGATGTGAAACCACACGTGACTGTATTAAAGCCGGAACAGCATCAGAAGCGATGGTGTTGAGAGTGGGAGGTGATGCTCTCTTTGCTAATAACACTGAAGAACTGTTACTGACTTGAAGGAATAGCTACATATCAACCTCATTAATACGTCAAATCTATCCAAAGGGGACATTTTCTTCTTCTCAGAGCCTAGTTTTTTTGGGAAAGAGAAGAAAATATGTACACAAATCCTCACAATAGCAAAGACCCTTTCCTCCCCAAATAAAAAACTTCACCCCCTACACACATTAAAGGTTATGTAACCTACACTTAATAGTTTTTGACTTTTCATATAAAGTGAGAGGGCTTTATAAGCCCCTAGTAAACCTTTAATACTTAAAGAATACATAAAAAAATTAAAGTTTCAGTATAAACTACCTTAGATACCATTACAAAATCAAGAGAAAAGCTACTGGCCTTTCAATAGGCCCTTTTCAAGATAAACTCCCCAGTGAAAACACATGACTGCTCAAGAAAAGAATGTATGTTAATATGGTGAAAAAGAAGTTTAGTTTGTACAAAACATGTTTTTAAATTTCCTACATAGACTGATGGGTTGACAGTTGCCTACTCTAAAATTGCCTTTGAACTTGAAGGATCTAGCTTGCTTTATTATTTCTATGCTTTCTATATTTCTATCAAAAAAGAAATTAGACACAAGATGAATAGTGGACAAAAATATAAAATACTACAGATAAACTTAATATTAGAAAAATATAAAAATTAGTTAAAGGTATTTTAGGGGTATGGGAAAAGCTATGTTTTTACAGTTGAGATTTTAAATGTTAACTATCAGGATTATGGATGGAGGGGACTTAAGTATGTGAAACATTTTGTTTTCATTACAAATATGAAAACGGGAAAGCATTAAGTGCATGAAACACAGTTGTTGCTCAGAGGGAATCATTAAGTATGTCTCCACTTATGGCAGTAACTACAAGGATACAAAGCAAATTCCTCAGCCTACACAAACTCAACAAGTCCCTTAGGGACTTCCATCATGTTTTGACCAAATGAACAAATTCTAACAAGTACAAATAAAACACCTGAAATAAAACATCTTTTTCATTGAATAAGAAAGCTGTTGTTCGTATGATCTTAGAAAACTCTGAATTTGTAAAACTCATTCATAAGTTAGCTCTACCAAGTGTCTTTGTATTTTTTTTTTTTAAAACCCCTTGGTAGAAAGGTTTACTTTGTGAGGTTCATTTCCATCACAGTCACATGGTCTAGTGCACTTCAGAGTATTTGGACATTATCAAAACTGTCCTTTTCCAATGAAAACATTTAAGAAAACAAGCACTTCTCAAAAAGTGACGTGGGAGGCTACTTACACTTTAGGATCTCCCCCGCGTTAAGTACAAATGTGTGATTCCCCAGAGTAAAACGTGACTATTTTACAGTTTCTATCAAAAAGAGGTTGGCTATAGAGAAAGCTACAGTATCCTGAAGACTTCTCAAGAGCTAGCTGAGTACATGCACCTTTGGGCTTGACATGTTTGTCCTTCCTTCCCTCGTTTCCTGTTCTTGGCAGTCATCTCCACCATGCACACACTGACGACACTTCTCACTACTTCTTTAGCGGGAAGAGGCTGTGACTTCTCAGTGAAGTCCACTGCAGCAGTGGACCCCTCAGGCCACTCCGGTACTTAGCGTTAAATTATATCCAAGGTGAAATTTCGAATTACATCCAGAGCTGAAGTATCAAAGCCGCACATATCCAACATGCCTCTATCATCAGGGTCTGCGATGGTAAAGCCATTTGATGTCATCCCACAAACAATCAATTTAGCAGGAATATCCATTTTCTGTATGAAAAATATACCGGAAAGTAAATACATATATAAGTATATGCAAGAAAAACAAACAAAAAATCCTTAAAAATTAAGACCTTTTTTTGTTGTGCTGGCCTAGAACTCATAACCCTGGTTCACCGTACCAAATGCTGGGATTACAGGTGTGTACCAAGTCTAGCTTACAGTTTTGATATACACAATACATCTTGCCTTCCAGAACTATAATTGTGCCCTCATTCTCTCCCTGACTCTCTGCTCTACCTCCCATCTCTGTTTCTCTTTCTTCTTCCTACCTATTCTTTGTGCTATGGATCAAATCAGGACCTCGAGTATACTAGATAAGAAGTCTACCATTGACCTACTGAGCTATAATCCCAGTCTCTCTAGATGTAGCTAAAATCACATAACTAAATATTAAGGAAGAAACAATCAATGAAGGTTCATTTTGTCAGTCACTATATTTAATAACTTATGAAAAAATATATTGAATGATTTTGTTTGATAAAACTTTCCTTGAGACAGGATTTCACATAGCCCAGGCTGGCCCCAAACTTGGTATATAGCCGAGGATGACCCGAACTTCTGATTCTAGTGCCTCTCCTTCCAAATGCTAAGACTGTAGGTATATAGCACCACGCCTGGTTTTATGCAGTGCTGGAGACTGAGCCTAGGGCCTCACGTATGGTAGACAACTACTATACCAACAGAAATACATCCCCAGCCCTTCTCTCTCTTTCTTTTCTTTCTTGTGACAAGATCTCACTATAAGTGTAGCCCAGGCTAGTCTTGAACTCCTGTCTCAGACTCTTTTGTTTAAAGACTTTATTTTTAATATGCTGTGTGTGATGCAGGTGACTGCAGAGGCTAGATGCATCAGATCTCCTGGAGCTGGCGTTATTGGCAGTTGTGAACCATCCAACATAGGTGCTGGGCAATGAACTCAGGTCCTTTGCAAGTGCAGAGTGTGATCTTAGCTCCTGAGCCATCTCTCTAGTCCCCTGCCTCCACACCTTGAGTATTAAGATTACATGCTAAGCCACCACGCCCAGTTCTAATGACCAATTTGTTTTTGAGACAGGGTATAATAACTGTTGTATCAACCTTACAAAGTACGTACCATTACCTACTATGACATTTGTCAGTGAACTAATTTGTTCAGATCCACAATTTGCAGAAGAGTCTTAGGACCAATATCCATGTTGTGGAATATTAGTTGAAGATGTGTTGCATTTGTTTATGCTGTGGAACATCTGTTTAATGATGCAAAGATGTGTTGCATTCTTTTATGTTGCATTTGTTTAACTCTGTGAAGCTGTGTTACTTTGCCTGTCTCAAACACCTGACTGGTCTAATAAAGAGTTGAATGGCCAATAGCTAGGCAGGAGAGAAATAGGCAGGGCTGGCAGGTAGAGAAAATAAATAGGAGAAGAGATCTGGGAAGAGAAGATCAGGGAGCAGAAGGAGAGGAGGACTCCAGGCACCAGCCACCGAGCTACATGGCAAGCCATGGAGTAAGAAGTAAACAGACGTAGATGGTTTATAGAAAGGTAAAAGGCCAGAGGCAAAAGATAGGTTAATTTGGCTAGAAATAAGCCAAGCTAAGGCCAGGCATTCATAAGAAAGAATAAGCCTCTGTCTGATTATTGGGGAGGTGGCAGGGGGT